AAATTTCAAACGTCCTTCAAAATTTTATTTGTCTTTGATTAAAAATTTGCACTTATTTGCCACCAATTTAAATTTATTTGAGAATTTTTATTTAAATTGTTAAAAATACTTGAAAAGTTTGCGTATAATAAAGTAGAAAAATGAGTATCTAAATAACTTCAATATTTCAGCAATAAAGCAATCAAATTGACTGAAAAAGTTATCAATAATATAACAAAATGTAAAATTATAGTAATGAATGAAGAAAACATCTTAATGAGAAACTACGAAACATTTTAACATAATACATGCCACTTTTAACAGAATAATCAGCCGATAAAAAAGATACAATTCAATTCAAAATTTTTAATGTCCTGGAAGACTCAGCATTTCAAATAAAAGAAATGAACGTTCACTTATTTGTATAGTGAAAAAAAAAATAGAAGTTTATTATCTACTGATCTCAGTCGAAAAGGACAAAAACTTCTGGTGTTGTTTCTAGTGCTTGAACATTTAGAAGAGTACTACAAAAACACTATTACATGTGGCGAGCTGCTTGTGAAAAACCACGTCTATTAATAAAACAACAGAAAACAAATAACTGGTTTCTATTTCATAAAATTTGGTCTATGACCATGGGCACAACATTAATAAATGTTGAGGTTGATTTAAGAAAAAACCAAGTAATGCTGAGAAAAAAGCTACTTGAAAAAATGGAACAAAATTGTTCTATTTATAGAACAAAGCGTGGTAGTGGTAGTAAATGCATCTGGGCCTGCATAAACTACAAAAGTGTCGGTTGTTTCAAATATTTGATGGAAGGGTCGATTCTTAAAGATATTTAGGTGTATTGGATAACTATTTAATGCCTTCTATTGACATTTTTCCAAAAAGCATAGGAATCTTTCAACAAGTTAATGTTCCATACTGCTAAGATTTGCAGGCAATATTTTTTAAGAAAACAACATTAAATCCATGTCTAGGCCTGCCAATAGTCCAGATCTTAATTACATAGAGAATTTGTGGTCTGGGTTAAACCAATATTATTGTAAAATTGAAGTAAAAGATGTGGACCAGCTAAGAGAATTATTAACAAAATTACTGAATAGTTTTCCTTTGTCGGTTTTTTTCATTGCTTTTTTAATTATCTAAAAAGCCGTGGTCATCCTTTCAAAAAAAAACTGATGGATTGTTATTAAATGAGATTACTCAGAATTTAGTGAACTCCATACAAAAACATATCACAGAATGCTTAAAGTAAAAAGGTTGTCAACTGAATATTAATTAGTTTTTTTTATGTTTTGTAAGTATTATTTTATTAAGGTTTTTTGTTTTTTGTTTTTGTGGTTTGTTTATTTTGGCCACATTTTTTTTTTTGATACAAATGAACACTTGATTTAATTTCAATATTTTATTTTTTAGTTTTTTTAATTTTTATTATTTTATAATAAATTTATATTGTGGTTATTTGATTTATTTCAATAAAAAATACTTAGGAAAAAAACACTTGTAATTTATAAAATATTTAATTTCTAACTTACTTTCATACTAAAATAACTTGATGGATTATTATTAATAACCAATTAATAACAATCCATCAGTTTTTTTTTGAAAGGATGACCACGGCTTTTTAGATAATTAAAAAAGCAATGAAAAAAACCGACAAAGGAAAAAAAAATTAAACAGGCTAAGCTATGTAAAAAAGCAAAAAAATCTTAACAAGAGAGAAGTTGTATTATTTTTATATATCAATCAAAAAATAGATACATAAATGAATTAAAAAGATAATAATATAATTAATTTTAATTAAATATTAAAAAAATATAAAATGATTTTTTTTAAAATTCTCCTAACACAGTTATTAACCTTTTAAAAGCAATGCGATGAACTATAAAACTTTGATCTTTTCTAATATTTTTATAATATTAAGCCAACTCTTTCAAATAAAAAAAAATTATCATTTAATAAAAAACAAACTTTATTTAAATTATCAAAAAGTATTTATAAAATAAGTTAATTGCAACACATTCGTTGTCCTTATTGTTTATTATATTAAGAATACAAAGTGTTTTAAAAATATTACATTCATCATTGAAAAAAAAAAAATACATTTGAAATAAAAGTTTCTTATATTCTATGATAATTTATTTAATGGCATTTTAAAACTTTATTTGAAAACATTTAGCTTAATGTAAATAAATTTTATTAGAAAGTTTACATAGCATAACAACAACAACAACAAAAACTGTTATGTTTTTGACTATTAAATTTAAGGATTCTATTTAAAAAAGTTGTTTTCGTTGTTGTTTATCAAATTAATTGTACAAAGTTTTCAAAAACATTTATATTCATGGTAATAAATACACTTTTTAACGATATCTTTCGATAATTTAAATGTTTTTTTTATAGTAAACAATCTTTAAAAGCAATTTTTCTTATACTTTATTTAGCGAATTTTTCAAACATTTTCAAAACTTTAGCTGTGGTTAAGTTGTCGCAAAAAAAAAAAAAAAAAAAAAAAGTGGTCTGGAATAGAGTGTGATCGCACGCCTTTCCTAACTACGTCGAATATATATATTTATAATATTTAT